AAAGTGAACAACCTATTTATCTGTTGTAAATCAACCCAATAGACTCCCTGGAGGACAACCAACAACTGTCATCTTGTCCTTCCAAGTTCAGAAACTCATCGAATAGATCTGGTATTATTTGCTCCCCTTTTCAACTAATGAACTCCACTCACCCTGATATTTAGAATTTTCACTTTGCTGCTGAGGTCTTCTGGGTTAAAGCATGTGTCTTTTCTCCGGAGAAATTCTGGTTTCAGCACGAATCCACACCAACCATTGTCCTGAAAACGTCCTCGGTTCAGATCCATCTTATGACCTGGGGTCTGAAAATTCAGTGCCACTGTAGATGACGAAACATACAACTGTGGATTACATTTAGGATACAATTTTCCTCCTCTTTTCTTTTTTTCTAATGGACAGAGTTACAAATTGAAAATTATGTCAAAACCTCCAAAAGCACATGTGGGTGAGTAGAGCGTGGTGCGGGAAGTAATGACACAGAGTTCGGTTGAAGAAGTAAGAACTTGTATTGAAGGAACAGCTCGACTCAACGGACAACCCATTGGGGAAACCCTCACAGTTCCGTGTAACTTGAGAACACAGTGGATACGGATGCACCAAGAGCATCTGTCTCAGCAAGAAGAGTGTGGACTAGCGGTCAGGACCCAGCGTGGAGGCTTCCGCAAAGGTTGTTGTGTCCTTAAATTGTCCCTCCTCACCAGGAACCTCTCCCTGCCGCTAGTCACTTTCCCTGTCAGGCATGTACTCGTTCCTTCCCCTATACACTTCAAAAAATGCACACCAAAACCTGAGGGCCTAAAAAGACTCAAGATAGCCACCAAGGGTCACTTGGATGCAGCATAGCCAACCAGAACGCTGCCTCCGGGGACCAGGAAATCATAGAGAAGCCAGGCTTCTCCTGACTTTCCTTCCAACTTCAGTACTGCTCCAGTCGAGCACCACCTACAGTGGAAGAAGCTGACAGCACCTGCCCAACCATCCTAATTTTGGTTATACAATCTTGGTTTTCAGAGCGCTGAGGGTTGCTGATTAACAAACTGGGAGTAGTTTTTAACAAACATGAAGGTCTTTGAGCAGATCACTTAGATTTTAGAGCCAGGGTTTATGTATGTCATAGAGACATTGAGAATGTGTATTTACCAAGCTGGCAGCCCGCATTCCACATTTCTTGAGGGCTATAGTTGGAAGAGCCAGCTCTCAACGCGTCAGGGTAAATACGACTGAGCTGCCGAGTATTGTACGAACCAATTGATTTCCTGTAAAGCATGAAAAAGAAAGTTACAGCATGCTAATGGCACAACATGCAAATACATCTGTGTCTTCATGTCATAATTTTCTCTTAAAGAAGTTCTCTTGTCAAATACAACCTCACCAAGCCACCCGTCCTACAACCAAAAAGCTCTCAAAGATGACAGTAACTACGAAATGCTTTCAAATATTACATGACCATGTGACTAAAAGGCTTGGCACAAAGGGGATAGTCAACCAATCTGACATCTGATTACCCGTAAGCAGAAGATACAATACACAACCAAATACTTAGACATTATGGAATCCTGGAACAATTTTTTGTTACACTTCAAGGCTACTGGTCAGCTAAGGTTTGGTAGGTTAAGAAAGACACAATGAGATATCTGCTTTAATGGTACTGATGACCTGAATTAAATCAACTGACCAACTTTCTACGACGGCTAGCCGTATCTATGAAACAGTGGTCTTACAGGCAATGTTAGATCAGTCTTAGAAGAACTGTACATAAACCTTCCTTAGATAACTGTCATAATAAAATCTTTCTTTGGATGTGAAACAAAAATAGTTCTGATGGATCATAATCCATGGCTACCAATAAGACTTCAGACTGCAGAGCCATTGGAACGAAGGGTATCTGGTTGATGGTTGAATGCTATAAGGTACAGAATATTTCTCGGTGGTTTAGACCAGGTGTCTCAGACCTTTCTAAACAAAGGGTCAGTTTACTTTCCTTCAGACTTTAGGACTGTGGTCAGCGTGGATAAAACCATGCCCCACATTCAGTAGACAATGTCTTAAGGCTGGGAGGTAAAAAAATTAAATGTTGCCTGTGGATAGTAGAAGGAATAGTGCCCCAATAATGGTATTAATGGGAACTTAGTACCCCATTGCTGATGTCAATGGAAGGAATAGTAACCAAACGTTTATATCAATGAGAGGAATAATATCCTGGTTGGTTGGTGTTAGTGGAATAAATTTTGTCTCACTGTATGTGTCAATGAGAGGAATAGTGCTTCTTATCAGTAGAAAGAACAGTGCCCCAAGGGCTGGATAAAGGCAAGCAAAGGGCTGCATCTGGCCCATGGGCCACAGTTTGGAGACCACTGGTTTAGACAGAGATCTCTATGGGGTTTATTTACTAAAAATGGAGAGTGCAAAATCTGGTGGAGCTCTGCATAGAAACCAATCAGCTTCCATTTTTTTTTCTGTTAAAGCCTAATTGAACAAGCTGAAGGTTAGAAGCTGACTGGTTGCCATGCACAGCTGCACCAGATTTTGCACTCTCCCGTTTTAGTAAATGAACCCGTTTCTATGTGTTTCTATGGCTGCAAGGCTATAGGGAGTGTGTTTGTTGTCCAAGGTGCAGTTGTATTTTTGTTAACCAAGTTCCATCATTACCAGACTCCTTCATCAGTCGGCGCACTTTGTCCTCGCTGAACGAACTCATTTCGCACACACTGCCCGGCTGATCCCGATACTCCACTGTCTGGCAGTATATTACCACGTCAGAGAGTTCCTGAGCTATGTCCTGTATAGAAAGGAGGCAACATTTATCACACTTACTACTTACACCTACTTTCGTATTACAGTAAACTGGGCTACGATTTTTATTTGCTGCCAGAAATGTTAATATTGAAGGGTTAATATTTATTGCTAAAGGATGGCCAGATAGACATCAAATAGAAACCATTTCATCATGAAAGCAATCTTCCAGTCTGAAACATATAGGCTGATTTAATCCCATGATGATAGTTTGCCATTTTAAAAGGGCACCTGTCTCCCTTGTGCTGTTTTATAAATGGCACCCATCCAGCTGTAAGCTCTGGTCTTCTGAGTGTCACTTGAAAGCCTTAATTGAAGCAGAGTATGCAGGAGCCAATCCCCTTGGTACTATTGCTGTGAAGGCTTACTGCTAATTAGCTCACTGCCTTTATATTACCAAGACTTATTTTTAATCTTGTGAGTTTGCCTAGGTCTAAAGTTTCAGGTACAGTTAGGATAGATGTAGAACTAGGTTTGGAGCTACAGTAGGCTAAGGCTAGAGCTAGAATTACAGATACAGTTAGGGTAGGGCTAGGACTAAGGTTACAGGTACTTTTTGGATAGGCCTAGGACTAGGGTTATTGCTACAGTAAGGTCATGGCAAAAACTAGAGTTACAGGCACAGCTAAGCTAGGGCTAGAACTAGGGTTATAGGTATTGTAAGTCTAGGACTAGGGGATATAGATACATTTAGGCTAGGGCTAGGACAGAAGTTAAAGGTACAGTTAGGCTACGACTAGAGTTATATGTAATCTAGGACTATGGATATAGGTATAATTAGGCTAGGGCTAGGACTGAGGTTACAGGTACAGTTAGGCTGGGATTAAAGTTACAGGTACGGTAAAGCTAGGACTAGGGTTACAGATATAGTAAGGCTGGACTATGGATACAGATGTAGTATGACTAGAACTAGGGTTACAGGTATAGTAAGGCTAGGACTATGGTTACAGATGTAGTAAGGCTAGGACTAGTGTTACAGGTATAGTAAGGCTAGGACTAGGGTTACAGATATAGTAAGGCTAGGACTAGGGTTACAGGTATATGTAAGGCTATGACTAGAAGGCTAGGACTAGGGTTACAGGTATAGTAAGGCTAGGACTAGATTTACGAGTATAGTAAGGCTAGGACTAGGGTTACAGGTATAGTTAGGCTAGGACTAGGGTTACGGGTATAGTAAGGCTAGGACTAGGGTTACAGATATAGTAAGGCTAGGACTATGGTTACAGATAGTAGTAAGACTAGTAACTAGGGTTACAGGTATAGTAAGGCTAGGACTAGGGTTACGGGTATAGTAAGGCTAGGACTAGGGTTACGGGTTACGAGTATAGTAAGGCTAGGACTAGGGTTACGGGTATAGTAAGGCTAGGACTAGGGTTACAGGTATAGTAAGGCTAGGACTAGGGTTACGGGTATAGTAAGGCTAGGGTTAGACTAGGGGGTAGGACGGGGTATAGTAAGGCTAGGACTAGGGTTACGGGTATAGTAAGGCTAGGACTAGGGTTACGGGTATAGTAAGGCTAGGACTAGGGTTACGGTATAGTAAGGCTAGGACTAGGGTTACGGGTATAGTAAGGCTAGGACTAGGGTTACGGGTATAGTAAGGCTAGGACTAGGGTTACGGGTATAGTAAGGCTAGGACTAGGGTTACAGATATAGTAAGGCTGGACTATGGTTACAGATGTAGTAAGACTAGAACTAGGGTTACAGGTATAGTAAGGCTAGGACTAGGGTTACGGGTATAGTAAGGCTAGGACTAGGGTTACGGGTATAGTAAGGCTAGGACTAGGGTTACAGGTATAGTAAGGCTAGGACTAGGGTTACGGGTATAGTAAGGCTAGGACTAGGGTTACGGGTATAGTAAGGCTAGGACTAGGGTTACGGGTATAGTAAGGCTAGGACTAGGGCTACTGAGTACAATTAGGCTAGCGTTGGGACATTTAGATCAGGACTAGAAGTGGGGTTACCTATTATTTAGGGATACCAGCTAGAGAAGTGAATTTGGGCTTAACTGACAGATCAGTATAAGGTTGTTTCTGATTGGCTGTTACTTCACTTTTTGTCTGGTAAAAAAGGCCTAGTAGCCATGGTATTCCACAGTAATGACAACATGTATTAATTACATTTCATTGCCCTTGTAAACAAGCTGTACACTTTAGATAAAGATCATGACTGTGCAACTTCTTTGAATGCTGAGGCTGGCAGTTATTTCACCCTGTGCCCCACATGTACCAAAACATCACCATATGTTCTCCACTCACCATCCGAGCCTTTCCTTCTTCATCCTCTGCTAATCTACGTTCACTCAGCTTCTTGCCTTTCACCAAGATCTTCCCCCTCAATGCCTACAGGAGATAGGATACAGTAACATAGTAGAAAGTAAAACACACGTCATCATGTTTAACCCAGATTTATACATGGAATAATAATAACGTGACCACAAAATGGAACACTATATGTACCTCTCAACCTCTATATGTACTTCTCAACCATCAGTGACCCAAAGCTCTATGGCAGAAATGGCAGTTCAATAAAGGGCTGTTAAACCCAAAACTGATACTCCAGTTTAGATACAGCACCGTAGACTGAATGGTTGGCTGGCTACTTATACCTCTTGGGGATTCCACCAGTTAGATCTTCCCACCATAGTTTCTTGGTCTGTTCCTGATCACCAGGGCTTTTTTTCCACAGAAAATAAGTGCAGGTACTCCCTGCTCCCCAGAGTCACCCCTTGTTTCCACCACCCCTACCCACCTCTGAGGACCGTTTCTTTTCTCCACCCTCTACGCTTCTCTCACTACCGCCCCCTTTAGACAACACAGATCCAAGCATAATTTTGTGGCGCTAAGTATTTTGCATGGAATTTATTAATGATAACAAGAAAAGCAATAAAAATAGGTCTCCTGTAGGCAACAACCATAGATCACCCTCAGCAACAATAGACTTTCCTTAGCAATAATAGCTCTTCCCCAGAAACAATAGACTTCCCAAGCAACAACCCCTCAGCAACAATAGATCATCCCCAGGAACAACAGACCGCCAGCAAAAATAGATCCTCCAGAGCAGAAATAGACCCCTGCCAGTAAAAATAGATCATTCCCAGCATCAAAAGATTCTCCCACCAGCCACCAATGACAATAGTTCCCCCACCAGCCAGCATCAATGGACTCCTCAGCAGCCAACAACAATAGACCCCCACCCCCAACATAGATCCCCCCACAATAGTAGATCCCCCCCATGCAATACTATCCCCACCCTATTCCCCAGTGACAATAGCTACAGCAGTAGCCAGCACCAATAGATCTTCCAGCACACCCCAGCACCCCTTTCCAACACTGGAGGTGCTAGAAACGTACCACTGCATTCCCGCTGAAAAAAAGCTATGCTGACCACAATAGAGTTTTGGGTGTTCCAAACCTCCTTGTGTTCCCACTGTTCATGTTGTTGTCTGCATCATATAGAATAAGTTCCAACAGGGTAGCAGATCCCTTATAATGAGCATGGCATTCTAAACACATGCCAACTTACAGGTTCCCCCATGGACCCATCAGGGTCTCTGATTGATCGGTCTGACACTGAGGACCATGCCACCATGCTATGTGTTTTGTCTCTCACCTCAGGAGATGGGAGGTGTGGAGGGTCCTGGTCACCTAGTGGTTGTGTTACTAACATGTCCCCGAGGATGGTACGAAGATGATGAGCCATCGTCACTTGCTGCTCCAGCCCACAGTGATTCTCAATGGACAAAATGACTGGATATGGGGAATACTGGAAGAGAGATGACAAATATTAGTGTGATGTTAGTGATCCTGTCCTCCAGTTTGGCAGATGGACCACCTTTTACAACATGACTTATATAGTCCCCCAAAAATAGTAACCTAATAATAGGTGGAGAGTAATTTGAGCAATAGTGCTGGAAAATGATCCATTTTATTGAGGTTCCCTGATGGTCTCCTCCTCTCTCTGCCTATTATCTACAGTATATGTGTTTTAAAGATATGTAGAGCAAATATGCAAAAATAAAATGTAAGTAAAAAAAAAAAAAAAATCTATTATAGCGCAGCTTTGGAGGATCACCAGTTTGGTCTACCCTTTTTGCAAGGGGTCTATCCAAACAGTAGGTGACCCAAAACAATTTGGTCACTCCAGTTTAAGAGCCCATTCACACTTTTGTGACTTTTCATGTGACTTTGGGGTACAAAGTCACATACCATAACACACCATATACTTAGCTGAGCCCGATCTCAATCCAGCCCAGTGCTCGAGATCCCCTTTCCGCTCTCTCCCTCCTCACTGGACTCAGTAGGAGCAGTGGGAGCCATTGACTCTATTATAGATCAGCTTTGGAGGATCACCAGTTTGGTCTACCCTTTTCCAAGGGGTCTATCCAAACAGCAGGTGACCCAAAACAATTTGGTCACTAAAGTTTAAGAGCCCATTCACACTTTTGTGACTTTTCATGTGACTTTGGGGTACAAAGTCACATACCATAGCACACCATATACTTAGCTGAGCCCGATCTCAATCCAGCCCTGTGCTCGAAATCCCCTTTCCGCTCTCTCCTCCTCACTGGACTCAGTAAGAGCAGAGGGAGCCATTGACTCTATTATAGATCAGCTTTGGGGGATCACCAGTTTGGTCTACCCTTTTCCAAGGGGTCTATCCAAACAGTAGGTGACCCAAAACAATTTTGTCACTCCATTTAAGAGCCCATTCACACTTACATGACTTTTCATGCGACTTTGGGGTAACAAACCATACCACACCATATACTTAGCTGAGCCCGATCTCAATCCAGCCCTGTGCACGAGATCCCCTTTCTGTTCTCTCCCTTCTCACTGTACTCAGTAAGAGCAGCGGGAGCCATTGACTACTGCTGGTGTCAATCAAATCCAGTGACAAGGAGCGGGGGCGGGGCTGAGCCAAAATGTATGCATCAATAGACAAAGGGCAGCTCGTGATCAAGCCCACATGAGTGCCCCCATAGCAAGTGACTTTCCATGGGGGCACTCGGCAGGGGAAAGGAGCTAGGAGTGTCGGCGGGGGACCTGAGAAGTGGAGGATAGGGGCTGCTCTGTGCAAAACCACTGCACAGAGCAGGAAGGTATAAAATGTTTGTTAAAATGTAATTTTAGCTAAAATAATACCAATTGGCAGACAGGCAGGAATTTTAATGCATGACATGCTTTGTCTCTTCTGCATTAAAGTTCTTACCTGCCTGTCAGCCCCTGTACAGTGAGCCACAACTGACGTCATCCCCGCCCAGCCAATGACATCGGCCGGCGACCTAGACTCGGATATGTCAACGGCCGGGCAAAGAGCAGAGGGACGCTGCATTGCTGGACCTGAGGTGAGTATAGTTCTGCTTTAATTAACAAAAAAAAAATACCTGAATTATTACAACGGCTTTAATCACTTGCTGAGTATATATCTTTTTATATTCTCTTCTTTATCTTTTATTTATTGCCCTGTGTTCTAGTTTAAACCGGTGCCATGATCACTGCCCCAGGCTTCCTTTTTCAGGGTGGCTCCGTTCTCTTGCAGTATCCTGGGCAGTCACCCTTGCATGCAGGGACTAGTTGTGTCTTCATACACTTTGTGCATCAATAGGAACAAACAGCCCTGTAGCCTAGGATGGCAAGGCACTCCTGTCCTCCTCTCCCTCCATTGTCCAAGCTAACAGGCTGACTTGTCCACTGTTAACTCTTTACTGTGAAGTGTGATTTTTTTTATATATAATTATTACATCATTTTAATGGAATTTTTATCTTACTGTTTGAAAGGGAAAGCACACTTATATGTTTATACAATTTAGAGTTTTTGGTATTCAAATAGTTTTTATGTGCAGCTTCCTGGTTGTTTTTTTTTTTGTACAATGAGCACAGTGTTTCTGTTGGTTTATAGCCATTCCTGTGAAGAACAGAAGTTCAGGCAAGCAGCACTGAGAGCGAGAGCCAGCAGCACTAAAAGTTGTGAATTGCAAGTGCTGGGGTAAGAATTTTGTACACTGAGCACAGGGTTTCTGTTTGGTTTATAGCCGTTCCTGTGAAGACCAGAAGTTCAGGCAAGCAGCACTGAGAGAGCAGAGCCAGCAGCACTAAAAGTTGTGAATTGCAAGTGCTGGGGTAAGAATTTTGTACACTGAGCACAGGGTTTCTGTTTGGTTTATAGCCGTTCCTGTGAAGACCAGAAGTTCAGGCAAGCAGCACTGAGAGAGCGAGAGCCAGCAGCACTAAAAGTTGTGAACTGCAAGTGCTGGGGTAAGAATTTTGTACACTGAGCACATGGTTTCTGTTTGGTTTATAGCCGTTCCTGTGAAGACCAGAAGTTCAGGCAAGCAGCACTGAGAGAGCAAGCAGCACTAAAAGTTGTGAATTGCAAGTGCTGGGGTAAGAATTTTGTACACTGAGCACAGGGTTTCTGTTTGGTTTAAAGCCTTTCCTGTGAAGACCAGAAGTTCAGGCAAGCAGCACGAGAGAGCGAGAGCCAGCAGCACTAAAGTTGTGAACTGCAAGTGCTGGGGTAAGGATTGTTAGTTTACTGGGACTCAATGAGTTCAGCTAATAAAAAACACAGAGGGTTTAATACTGTTTCTTGGGAATTTTTTTTTTTGCTGATTCCTGTAAGAGAATGGTGTGATTGCCTATTGATTGGCTACAGGGGGGGGGGGGGGGGGGGGGTTGGGGTAATGTATCACAAAGGGGTCTAGTTATAAAAAAAATACAATGATTTTCTATGAGAATCGAGCAGCAATCAGTCATAAATGGTATCACCTATAGAAATACAGTTATGCTGTGAACCATTGCAAGTGGCTTTGTGTTAGTAATTCTGTTGTAATTATGTGAACACATAGTGATTTGATCATTATGATTTGGAAGTACATTGTGGCACAACGCCATTATTTCCAGAATTAAGTGACGCATTTACTTCACATTTGATCGTACTTAGGATACTATTGTAATAATCTAAACATCACAGAGGCACGGTATCTATAATACTGTCATGTGACATAACTAAAAAATGTTTCTTGTGTGTTGGCGGGAAGGCTGCATCTTTCATGATTTTTTTATTACTGCTGATAATGATATTGAGTCATCACATGATGCTGTCACATGTGCATAGAAGATTGTAAGAAAATGAATGCAGTGTTGTAAACAAGCTATCTAGTTTATAAGAAACTGGCTTTAGAAGAACTAGGGGTATAGGTCCTGTAATGTAAAGGCTGTATCTTTTACAAATGGGAAATTGTTGGCACCCTTGATATTTTTCCTGAAAATAAACGAAAATTGCATACAATGATTTTCTATACAAAATCTCCCTCTGTGTGTATTGGGACAAAACAAAAAAAGGGAGGAAAGAAAGCAATCCGACATGTCACACAAACCTCCAAAAATGGTGGACAAAAGTAACCTATACAACTGCGGATAATACAAGCATCAAACTCACCTGG